AATCTTTATAAAAAGTACAACATAACTTGATTAAAAAACATATCATTTTGTACAATACTGTACAAATAATTCTTACAATATTTTTTCAGTTTAAAATAATTGCATTGGTATAACTTCCAGATATTGGAGAAACATGATCTTTGCTAAACAATTCAGAGTTTAATAACTGTTGCTTTGAAAGCTTTCCTTCACATTGTGCTTTAAATGAACTTATAATTAGTTAATGTATTTCTAACAATGTAACAAAGATGGTATTTACAGTGTATAAACACAATTATATTTTAGTTGGTGTCTGATTAATATCCCAAGCAGGCCATTTTCTTCTGTTTTCTTTGATTGAACAAATATAATAATTTACATTTAGTTCTTAGAAGAAGAAAAAACTGTATATGATTGTCAAGGATAGGAAATGTCTTTTTTTTTTTAAGCAAACAATGACTTTATGTAACTTATCCCTTACAAAGAAACTTAGTGAATTTTGCTTGAACATATTAAAGAATTGAATCAGTCTCTTTGTACCTAGGTTCAAGGTGATAAGTTTCAGTTATAAAATATTTATATGGCATGCTGTTGAAACAGTCTTGCTTTATTTTGGTAAATAACAGTTACAGTCTATGTTCTTGCTTCACTGTAAGTACATATTTAAAAGAAGTTTAGATGTTTACAGATTAATATACAAATTTGGTTTCAGATTTTTAACTAGTTCTTACATCACTGGCAGTACATGAAATCTGTAAACTGGTGTTAGTAGGTATACTTATCTAAGTGACTGTGATGGTAAGCTTAGCATCATTGTGTTAGATATTTTATATTCATCATCTAAAGCCCAACTTCAGTGTTAATGTTTGTTTTGGTGTAACATGTTGACATACCTAACCTAGTTTAGCAATTTCAAGTTTTATATACGTCCATCCTTAGTAGTCAACTGTTGGAAGTAATTAAAGTTACAAGAAGTACTTTCATCTTAAAGAAAATATAACAACATTGTTCAGTTGTTATTGTTGAGTTACAGGATGTGTAAACATGATAAAGAAGTTTATTTTAGTTTTAAAAAAATTATTACAGATATCTTACTTTTAAAAGTCTCCTTTTAAGTTAACTTTTCTGATAATTCTTATTTAACACTAAAAACTTAAATGAAGGTTGTATTGCAGCTTAATGCAAAACAATTAGTCCAATTGAAACAAAATTAGCATAAAGAGGTTTCTGTGCGAAGAGTTTTGGTTAGAGTACCAGCAAAAACAATTTACTAAATATTGTAGTATATCTATACTGATTTAACTGACATAGAAAATTGAAAGAAAGGCACATCTATATTTTTTCACTTATTTATTTATGAGCTTTGGTAATACATCCTATCGTAAACAAAAATATACGGCTTCTTAGGTTTATCAGAACCATGTAATTGTCCGTCCATCTACTCGCCAATATTTATGGATTTGTTTTTAGACTTCCAGGCTATTTCAAGTGGAAATCGGTACTGCTTGCTTCATATGTTTTAAATCATTATTTCTTAAGTACAAAATAATTTGGGATAGAAATCTTACACAGAATTTCTATCCCACATTATTTTGTACTTAATGAAAGATTAAGTAATGACATCATTACTGTACAATACACTGCTTCTGTTACAATTCATGTTTGCCTGTTCTTTATAATCATTTTTGTTGCCACCAGAAATAAAGTGTGTGTGTGTATTTCTCAGAGCATTTCATTTGCTAATTCAGAATCTGTTTTGCTTGTAAGGTTTTTTTAGCTTGCTATAAAAAAAGATCCTGTACAATATTTATTTTGACCACATTTCTGTTGTTGTTGTTTTTTTTATATAGTTGATGATAATAATAAATTTGTAACCACTAGATATAACATAATCTCTTTCAACAGTTTATTTCAGAGTGTGTTAACATTTCTTAATAAAATGGCTGTTAAATATCAACAAATAAAAATTGATGGATGGTAATATTATTTGAATCAAAAATCATGTTTGTTTTTTTGCAAACTTGTTAATAAAATTCTAGTTTGAAAGAGCTCTAGATATTTCATTAAATTGAGACAAAATACTATATCAGTATTGTTAAACAAAATAACTGTTAAAGAAAAACTAAAAATAATGAGGCACAAATCCCATTATTTTGGTTGAGTTTTACTGCTGTTTCAAATTTTAATAAGACTAAGATTTATAATTATTAACCAATTAGCATTTCACCCTTATAGAATATTGGAATGATAATTAATATCCATTATCTCACCATAGTTTCTATTCATTAAATTAATTTTTTTATCATTTAATACTTTATAGAACAAATTATGTAAATGCAATTAAAACATACAATTGTTAACCCTCTCCAGACAGGTCACTGGTCAAAGGCCATGTCATCATGTTTGTTGACTTGCATTGAAAACTTGATTGAACTACTATTTCAAGAATTTATATCATTAAGTTTGGTATCAAACTGTAGATTATATTTCAAATTTTAGTGTCATACATAATTTAATTTCTTAATTTAAAAGTAAATATTAAAAAATGCTTAAACATTGATTTTTGTGTGCCACGTGGTATGTTGAATGCAGTAGTGGTTCAAATTCAATGTTTCTGATCTAAGTACAAAGTCTATAGTTTCGTACAAATTAGGAACTCATATTACTGATATTGACAGGCTAGAATATAAAATAAGAACATCATATCTTTTCTATTTGCTGAGGTATCACTCATGTACACAGTGGCCCTGCTCACTTCTTTCCATTTTTGGAAACGGTCCCTTATATACACTTACTTCAATATATAATGTGTGAATAACCAATCGAAAACTCAGAATGTCCCCTCGTGGCTTCCTCAGCCATTTTCATGTGTTAGGACACCATTTCGTTCTTTCAAACCAAGATTTGAAGGAGGTAGGTTGTCTTTAGTCTGCCCGAAATTTCATATTTTTTGAGACCCAAATACAGCTTAGTTACTAAGCTTGATAAATTATAGTGGAATTCTGTAGTATCAATATAGTAATTTATATATACAAGTATATATATATATAACACCTAAAAAAATTGTTTCATATTTTACACGTGCCAAATTTTAAAAGGCTTGGCAACCTACATTAAGCAGTAACAAGAGTACAAAGGTTGTAACTAGAAGAGATAATTATTTACTTTACTT